CCAACGCCGATACGTTTTGTTGAAGTTCTGATTGCGTTTCGAGTTCTGCTTTCGTATGTGGCTTATCGCTATAACATAATATTTATTGATAGAAAGAACAATCATCAAAGTAATATTTTTATTTAATTTTATTCCCAACTACTTTATCTTCAACATGTCAGCTAAAGATTTAAAATACTTCTTAGATAATGTAAATCCGTTTTTTGGCTAAGATGTGCGTACAATGTAACAAAGCTGTGGATTTTGTGTGAAATAAAAACAAAATTCTATGAATATATTTTATTTATACATCTGAATTTAAATAGAGATTAATTTGATAACAGTGAATTGAAATAAATTGAATTAACTGAAGGGTTAACGCAAATTGAATCGAACTTCATAATAAAGTGATTATAAATAATGGACAGTTAATAAGAACAGTTAATAGATTTAAATTAACTTAAGGTTGTAAAACAAATAAACGCAAATAATCGTATATCAAATATTTATATGTATATAAATAGAATCTACTATATGTAATCGGTTTAGTACCTACTCATTAAAATAATTAATTTCGATATAAATATAGATATATATAATATAATCATTATATATAACATTCTATAGTCTATTTTAATAGCAACTTGTTATTCAAAGTGCTATTAAAATACACTATTTCATTTTGTCTTAATGACGATTACAGGTTATTTTTAACGAAGTTCTAGGCTGGATTACTCTCATACATTTAAGTAACGCGAAGTAGTAATAGCGAAGTCAAAGTTGTTCTCAACTAAATGAGAACAACTTTGACTTCGCTATGGTAGAGCTACGCAGCAACTTTTGTGGCACAAATAGGTTAGACTCGTCTAGGTAACTAAGAATAATGCTCCTAATTCATGAACTAGGAGCATTTTACTTCTTTTTTTTTTTATGAATGAGGTTACCAATGCTCGTAAGTTTAAGGTTTTACAACGCATCTGCAAAGCCAAAGTTCATTCAGATATCTGCATGGGCGGTGGTAATCACTTAACATGAGGCGACAAGCTTGTTCACTTGACAAAAAACCGGCCAAGTGCCTGTCAGGACTCGCACACGAAGGGTTCCGTATCATTATCTATGAACTATCAAAAACGGCTAAAATCATGTGTGTTGTAAGAGAGCCTAACTTAAATAATTTTGTATTCTGGTTTTTAGTAGATCTTTTATTCGTTTCGTATTCTTATTTTTAGTATTGGTTTTATTAGCGGCAACAGAAATACATTATTTGTGACAATTTCAACTATCTAACCATCACGGTTCATGAGATATAGCCTGGTATGAGTCTTAGTAATAGGGTCCTGTTTTGCCCTTTGAGTGCGGAGCCCTAAAAACGAAACGTATTACTCTTTTGCAGTACTCATATTCCTCTCTCTCTCTCTATATCTCTTCGTCTCTTCGAGGCGTTCTCTATCGGCTTTTCCACTTGCATTCTATATTTTTTTCTCATATGTTCAAACAACAGAAAAAATGTCGCTTTCCGCATATACAACATTGCTTTTAAACCTCTATATTTCCAATTGGAAAGTAAAGAATGAAGGACGCCTGATAATCTGATTTTAATGTATACATACTAAACTATTTTCGTAACAAATTCAAGCACCGTCCCATCTCGAGTTAAACTTTATTACGGACTGTTTAAAACAGAGTTTGGTTGTACGTTACCACAACAATCGTAATCACGCGTTTCACTATAGCCCGCAACGGGAGCAAGGTAATTAGCACTCCGGGTCGATTCGAAAATAAAATTGAACGAGTACTACAAATGCTTGGGAGTCGACGGCGCGGGAAATTCACGTGTGTACGCCGGTTTACAGCTCCTAGCCGGCCGGCGCGACGCCCGGCGTTCATTTAAAATCAATAAACATAAAAAGCATTTGCCTATTCTTGCCCGCCGCCGACAAGCTACGGCGACGGCTATAAATAAAGTATGGCTGACATCCGGTCAAGGCACGCACCGCTACCGTGTAAAGCGGTTTCAAACCAATTTCTTTTTTGCATGATTTTCATTTACAATAAACCAATCGAGACTGGTTGCAATGTTGAACGATCAAATATCGATAAAATTGTTAAATGTTTGTTATTATTTACACCCAATTGACGTAGTGAATAGTTAACCTGTGACTTACAGTGTCAGGGTGTGGGTTCGATTCCAACTCCTGGACAAATATTGTGTGTTGGAACATATTGCTCTTTTAGTGTCACGGTGTTTATATATCTAATATGTATTACACACGTATATTAACAATAGATCAATTTTTATAATTACTTTAATCAGTCAAAGTACAAACTTTGCTTCGTTTAGTTAGTAAATTCTTTATTGGTAAAAACTATTCAGATGGCTACATTCTTTTCACAGTTTACCTAGCAACGACACAATCTTGAAATGTCCTATGTCACGTAAAACCCGAGAGCACTTGAGATGACAAATCGTTCATTTGTAATAAATCAGAAATCTGGATTATTTTTGATAACCTGGAAACTTAATTGCAACTCTATTCAGTAAGAAAAGCCTCATTACACTGTTATTAAAATATTATAATTCAAATAATTTTATAAAAAATAAATACATAATGCATGGAGGCGTTTCTGTTCCATGAATTTTTGGCTGATGAAGGGCCATGGACATGTGCATTCTTCCCATCCTCACATACGGTGCACAACCATGATCTTTGACAAAGTTGCAGAAGTCCAGGCTCACGGTCTGCCAGCGGGCTATGGAGCGCAGTATGCTGGGTCTAAAGCTTACGGACGAAGTAAGAAATGACACACTGCGCTCCCGAACGCGAATTTCCGATGCGGGCCAAAAAGCCGCCAAGGTTAAATTTGACTGGTCCGGTCATGACTGCCGCATGCCTAACACCTTTTGGGCCAAATCTGCTACCGAATGGGTCCCACAAAATGTAAGACGGGCACGCGGCAGGCCCAGACGGAGATGGCGCGACGAACTGAACGCATTTGCGAGGGATTGGTCAGGTATAGCCCATGACAGGGAAAAGTGGAAGAAATTGAAGGAGGCCTTTTCCCAACAGTGGGACACTAGTGGCTGAATACGAATTCAAATAATTAATTTTATGTTATATGTTATAATATCGAGATACAAGGTCGAAATAATCCATACAAACATAATAAGGATGCAAAATCTCGTTCCAATGCAATAATTCTAGCGCACTTCCAACTTCTACAAGATGTGCTACGAAGTTTTGTAGGTCCCGCTAATGCTGAAACTTGTTCATGCTTGTAAAGCAACGCGTGCCTTAAGTTTCTCCGCGTAATTTTCAGATTTACCGCATACTTTGTACGTAGACGGTTCTGCTATCTGTTACATGAAACATCATTGTTTCTGCACCGTTTCCGGCATTTTTATGAATTTGATGCGGAAACTAAATTGATCGTTTATTAAAATACTTGTAATATAATAAATTCAATCAAACTTGTACACACGACATGTCCATGGCTCCACAATTATTTTATTAAAATATATGTTTTATTTATTAAAAATATACTTTTTTAATTTTGTCTCACAGGGTGCATTAATGTCTCAAAAGCTTATTTAAAATGTAACAATACATGTCGTCTTGTTATATTAAAGCTAATTAGCTAAAACTTCTGGTTTTATTGATAGCAAAACCAAGTTTCTCCAATTTTGAAACAGTTCAGAGTTCAAATAGAAGTTTTATGTTCTACGTTTCAGCATTCATCGTCCGTCGGTAAGTCAACTTATATAATAAATAAATAGGAATGTCAATCTCCTTACTTTAAGCAAGTAAAGTAACACCATTCATGGATTAGAATTTAATTTTGTAAGAAAGCTTCATAAATCCACTACTCCATAGTCTCGGATGTAAAAATTACACAAACATTATTTTTACAAAAAATAAAGACTAAGTAAAAAGTGGAACAAGCTAGTAATCATTAAAATATTTCGTATATTCCTTAAAATAGTTCACAGTTTAATTTAACTATAACCTTTTTTAATGTATAGAATAGTTTCATTTAACGATACAAAGACTTACTTCATAATGTAATGTATTGATATACTTCGTAGTAGATTTAACTGGCGCAATTTCTAAGTGGCACCACTGGCCGTTCGATTCCTACCCGGGAATCGGGAAGTCCCGTCAATTCCTACAATATTATTTGAAAATATCTATATATTTGCCCCAATATATAGATAAATTTTACGGATAAATCTTTTTTTCTTTCGATTGGAGTATGTTTAACTCTTCTACCACGCAATAAATTCTTGTCCTACAGTAAAAGTAATGACAAAAAAAAGAACACAAAAAAAAATAATTAAAACTACAGACAGATTTACATTACTTTGTGCCGCTTTATTAACACCTTGTTGGCTCTAGTTTACGCGACCTGGTAATTAAAAAACGACTTTGATCCCATGAACACTAAATCTGTTTATCTAAAAATACTAAAAGCGGTTTCACCGGTGTACAAAAGAACTTGCCACGTATATGGGTCAACAGGCACTTTGCCGCGTGGAAAATCAGACTGGCAAACAGACGTAAAAATCTTATCTAGCAGTTATCGCGATTATTTTAAGCGTTTATGAAATAAAATTGACGTGTATTTCATAACCCTTCTATTAATTGTTCGGTGGGTTTTGTAGCATTAAGTAAATGACATTAGCCATGCCTTTCACGTTAATATCTTCTACGACTATAGCATAGACAGTTCTTAGAAGACCATCATTGTAATAATGCTTAAGTATTCACGCAACGATTAAAAGAATATTATGATAACTATGTGTCACATTTACACACATTTTCAAAGAATTATGCTTAAATTAAAAAATATGATACTATCATCAGGGAGTTCGGATTATCTGTTGATTAAAATGGATATGTTTTACCTCTCTCCCATTGATTCATTGTTTGGCAGATATGTGTTATGCACCTGCAATATATGTTACTTTTTAAGACTTTAGTACGGTGGTCCTGGTACTGACAAATAAAAATAATAATAAGTTAAGTGCTATCGTTCTCACGTTGAAACTTACCTAACTGGCCAGCCTTGCTGACGGGATAGGTGACCGGTGCCGCCGCCGTCGTAGCCGTGTTGGGCGGGTACACGGGATCGCAACACTCGCGCTCCGGGAACTCGCTGCCGCCCACGCACGCCGCCAACACCACGACGCCCACGAGTGGCCATTGCCAGCCGACTTTAGAACACCCGCGGAACATTGACGCGAAGCAAGCACGCGACAAACTCGTCAGCACGCACGCTATCCTGATGAATAGCGACAGGCTCGTCCCGATGCTCTCATCCCCCCCACCCCTACCACCGTCCGTTTTTTCGACTCCCTTCCCATAGTGCCCCTTCACGACCATCGGTCTTGGCTTCACATTACACTTTCATAGAGTTAGCATCGAACTTCTCTCTACTCACGGTTATGTGTTTGCTTTAAAATTAGTTGTATGTAATTGACATTCAATTTGTACAAAACGAAAATTTTTCTTTTCGTGATATATATTAAAAATATTTGTTTTTATTTAGACCTGCAGGTTTAAAAATTAATATAATAACTCGCTAGAAGGAAACAAAATGTGAACTGAGAGAAATGCGTTAAAAAAAATACCAAGCATAATTTTATGTGACTGGATAGATTAAAATAAGATGTTATTCGATTTGGAAATGAGGAACTTTCAAAATGAAAAATTGGATCTCATACGGACGATTGAAAGCAATAACCTATTTCAAAACCAATAAATAATATGACCTGCAGTTTAAAAAGCAATTGAGGCAGTTGCGCAGCCAGCGGGCACCGTGGATTGGATGTGTAATTTTATTTACAAAGTTCAGTTTAGTTTAGTTTTGTTTTGATGACGTTTCCCATTTTTAACGGATGATTCATTCATAATCATTTAAATAGACAAGTGGAACGCGTAGTATTCTAACAACCCGTATGAATATAATAAAGGAGACATTTGCGGAAATGAGAGAAGATCATAAAAATATAATCTCACTGTCCATTTTCAGGTACTAAAATAACGATATCTTGAATTGCATTCAAGATATCGTTTTATTGATTGATTTGTATTAATTTTAAAAATTTCAATTGCGAAATTCAACTATTTTTTTAAGATTGTGTAAAATATCAGCTTATTAGTTACGGATCCGGTTAAAGAAACGACGCATCAATTGAGTTAGTTCAAAGTTACTTACTCGCGTGGACGTCGCGACCTTCGATCGTCAGTCTGTTCGATTAAACAGCGACATTGAATGCGAAGCGATCAATTCAAAATGATTCGATACAGACTTTTTTTTACTTATTACGGATTTTTTTCTTTTTCCACTTATCACTTATTACGGAAAATCAACTTATTACATCCAGTTAAAGGAACGACAAATCAATTTAGTTAATCCAAAGTGAATTCTAACTCGCGTGGACGTTTACGGATTTTTTTCTTTTTCCACTTATCACTTATTACGGAAAATCAACTTATTACATCCAGTTAAAGGAACGACAAATCAATTTAGTTAATCCAAAGTGAATTCTAACTCGCGTGGACGTTTACGGATTTTTTTCTTTTTCCACTTATCACTTATTACGGAAAATCAACTTATTACATCCAGTTAAAGGAACGACAAATCAATTTAGTTAATCCAAAGTGAATTCTAACTCGCGTGGACGTCGCGCCCTTAGATCGTCAGTCTGTTCGATTAAACAGCGACATTGAGTGCGAAGCGATCAGTTCAAAATGATTCGATACAGATTTCTTTCTCTATTTCAAATCAGTTTCATTATAGAAGCGTTAATAACTCTCCAGATCTATCACTTCTGTTCAGCGAGTCTTGCCGAGTCGTTAATGTTATATCTAACTAACCCTAATAAGAAATATAAAATTGCGCGTCACAATTATTTCATTTGTCAAAACGGTGTTTATATACGTATATGAATTCACTCTATTCAAACCGGTTTCATCATTACTGGTGAAAAAACCTAGTTCTAGTTCATCATCAAAGACTATCGTTGCAATAAATACACTGAAAGCAGATTTTAAAATTTTCTTAAATCTTCTAGCTCGATTCTCAATACATTGTTTTGTTTGACAACTATATAACTTTAGCTTTTAGATCAGCGTTTTTATTCCCGTGCGGTGTACCTTCAAATTGAATTCTTTTGAAGTCTTTGTATACAAGGTTTGGATATCATTAGGCTCGTATCTTTACATCAGAACCTAAATATTTATTTTTATAATCGTATACTGGTTATGCGGAAAGGAGGTTTATAGGAGGAGATAATGATAAAATAAAAAGTTTGTTTTGGATCTTTTTTATTCTACTTGATACGTTGAGTAATTTTATCAACGATATAAAAAAATTCATATACTTAGCCGTATTGGATTTTCAAATAAAATATATAAAAGTACATCAGATTTAAATGTACATTCAATAAAATAGTGTTTTCGAAAAAATTGGTTTTAAAATGTGAAATTAAGTTTTTCTATGAATATAACAAAATAATATCAATGCCTCATATTCATAAAAACCAAAAATAGTTCAAGAAAGATTTAGCCTTTAAAACCAACTTTTATTTTATTCCTTTATAAGTTTTATTTTTTTCAGGTTCATAAAGCCAAACTGCGGACTGCAAGATGTTTTAATCTAGAGTTAATATAAATATAGAAAGTAATAGTTACATTGAAGCTATAATTAATACAGAAGAAAATGAGACATATTACAAAATTCATCGCTAGATACACTTTCTGAGAGTTTTCAAGTACGAAGCATAGTGGTGCTACGAAGTTTCGTAGCACATTGGCTGTAGGCCATGAAATATGTTCATAATTTTTGGTGGCAAAATTTATTCGATACATCTTTTGTATATTATATGAGCGTTGAATTAGACTTGTTTCATGTTTCAAATAAAATGATATTAGGTAATGAATTATTCCTGTATAAAATCATCACCATCGAAAAGAAGTTGGTAAAACAAACTAAAACCTGGAAGAACTGGGAAAAGAAATGATAGAAGTATTTCCGTCTACTTACAAAAGATCTAACTACGTATTAGGTCAAAAGCACTTTGAAGCGCAGAAAGCGCTAAAACAATCATACGTGGGCAAAGCCGGGTTCAGATGTTGTCTTACCAGCGAAGTTTTATATTGAAGGGCGCTCTAATTAATGGAGATACTTATGATTATAATAAGGTATTAATATTATATTTCGCCCATAAGTCAGTATCTTAATTATAACCGTAACAATTAAGACAGAATATCCAAGTAATGGCATATCGATAACTCTCTTAGATTAGGTTGAGTCCTAAGCTACAGATTTCATTTCCATTTAAAAATAGCTTTAAAAATTGTTAAGTTGCGATCGTTTGTAACTTTTTAATAACCTTGTTGGTCTTGTATTCTGATAAAAAGAACTGGAAATTTACTGATAAAAAACATTTTTAAAACAATTAGGTCAGCGAATTATCATCATGTTTGTTTGCATGCGTACCGATGTTGCTTAGCAATTATTTTTAATTTGGACATAATTTTTTACTTTACTTTTTTTTATTTTTACTCAGTCTTTAATATTTTGTAATACGGCTAAAAAATCAAATTTAAACGAAACCGTAAAAGTTTGATAGACTTACAAAATACTTTACGTTATGTACATTAAACAAGCTAATATTTGTTTTAGATACGAATTCCAATATATCTTGTAATATTTTCAATTGTGTTTGATTTTAATCTTGATATGTAATCAGTCTTTTTTTTGGTTCAATTATAAATATTTTTAAACTAATGTATCTGTAGAATTTTTTATCGTTTTGATGTTTATGTTGGATTAAGAAAATTAAAATGGCTTACTGATTTATTCACAATGCAATTGCCAAATATGCATCACACAATTATGTAAAAATCTATAAAAACGATCTATATAATTAGGAACTCCTAATGGCAAACTTTTTATGGGTGCCATTATTTGAGATCACTTTGGCTTGCTTTTATAACCCTTCTTCCAAAAACTTCAATCCTCTTTTATTACGTCCACAACAGCAAATAACATCTTAATACTTAAACTTTCCAATTTCCTGTTAGAATATTGAAGAGCACGTCATATTAAAGAACAATTTCCATTTTAAACGTGGCTTGAAATTTTAACAAGAAGCGCTGCTGGGTTTTCTTTCCCGCCATTTTACTAGCGCGTATGCGTTTTCCCGCGCTTTTACCATACAATTTTATTTTAAATTCAATCATGAATAATTTTCAAGTCAATTTACATTTAAATATTTTTTTATTATTTTTTAAACACGTTGCATGTACTTATTAATCTATGCGAGATGTATAAAACCACCTTGTCTGTTGTTCTTGTGTAACTTTAGTCTTATTAAATATTACGTTAATAACAGGTAAATTATAATTAACGAGAAATTACACAGATAACAAGTTACGTAATATTATTGGATCACATAAATATTAAGGTTCCTAACCTTAGAATAGGTATTGTAACGATATCAGTCACGTATTAGGTATTTACACGTTGTAATATATCCAAATATACCCAAGTATGTCGTATAACCGAGATACTGCCTTCGTCCAATCCAAATCACGTTCACCACGCAACTGCCACAGCACAGCAAAATAAAATATTATAAAAAGAAGTGCTAGTTCATTTTCAAAAATACAAGCTGTTTACGTTTAAAAAAAATTCGAAACGCACCCGCGCGTGTTTCCACGCGCCATACGGACGTCACCTACAATGTACGCGGTGCTACTAACGTAGTAGACCTGGAAAGGCTTTAGCTGCCCCAACACTCCCCCCGCTACCCCCGCACCCCCCTTACGGCCCTCAGCCCCGGCTCCAACTTCAGTATCGTAACATCAGTAACCATGAGCTTTAGGCAAAGAATTATAAACGTTCACAGCGCAGCTTAAAGCTGAAATTCTAATATCTGGAACACGAATTTTCCCACGGTGAAATTGTGGACCGGAAAAGCGAATGCACAACACAAGCTGACTAGTCGGTAGGTGTTCTGATATATATTATCTACAAGCGAATTTTAATCTTAAAAAGACTGTAAAAGAGTCTATTTATAACGGTTGGAATACGTAGGTGAATAATACAAATTGCAGGTGTGTGCAGTGGACACAAATGTCCGAATTCGATTATGTTATAATTGTTGTGATGAGCAGCGTTATATTGAATTTTATTTTCTAAAACGTAAGGAACAAAGTTGAATATCATTAAGTCGGTTTCCGAAAACACTGTTTGCTTTGCACGGTTCATATTAGGTGGTAGAAAGCTCGGCTGTAATAGTATTTAAATTTATGCTTTATGACGTAACTGTTAAAGTATGTTTTTAACTAAAACATTACTCGAGAAAAATCGA